ATGTATATTTTAAGACCATTTTGAACTGATAAAATAATAATGGCATATTAATGCAAGTTCACCCCCTCAAAATTAAAAAAAAACTTTAATTTGTGAAGAACATTTAACACCTTAACTGGAAAATATTTTAAATATTCAAAAATAAATAAACACAACAACAATTATTAAAATGGATTAGGAAGTTTTTGTATCCAAAATTATGTTTCCAAACATAAATCATTCAGCCAAGTCAGGGAAAACAGGCAAAAGTTGCAACTACTTCATAAATGTTTTCAAAATTATGACTTTTCAGTTTCTTTAAAGTGGAGCATCTCTTTAGTGATTGTTGTCCAGGTGGAATTGCAATTAATTGATTTAACTAGCTCTAATTTACTTTTCCACATTTATTCTACACCCATTTTTAAAAGTTTATCTTTAACAGGAAGAATGAATGACGGTGCATTTTGTACATATGTGTATGGAACACCAACAGGCTTTTGTTAGCTTTGTTTTTACACAGTCATATCATTAATATTTGCTGTAAATGAAGAGCGAATCATGGATATTTCATATAATTAATAAACCTTCCAGTGGGGGAGTTTGTGACTGAGGCAACAGCTGCGCACGGGGCAGACGGGGAAAAGATGGACACCAATAAACAGACTGGTAAAGAGACAAAAGGAGAGAATAGGAGGAGGTAGAGACAAAGGGAGAGGGACAGAGAATGGGAAAGAAAGCAGCTGGGTGTTTTTTGGCTTCCCCTCCCTGCACCCTCCCACCCGTCTTCCTCTCCACGTTGGCCCTCTGCGCCACGCCCAAGTCCGACGGTGTTAATATTCTCGCCACACACCCTCAAGTCTCCCAGTGCATGTAGATGTCTCTTTCTGCTTTAACTTTTATAGATTTTAAAGGGTTCCACTGTGCAGAAGACTCAAAGGCGTTTAGGAATCTTCTACTAACGATTCGGTTCTGATTTTTGGGGCAACGATTCGATTCAAAACGATTATTCAATCTATCGGAGTACAAAGGATCCTCATGATGTGCTCCAGGCATTTTTTCAATAAATTGAGAAATTAAAGTGCCTTTTTCACATTTATTATGTTAAAATTATTTGATAAAATTGATTTATTGCAGTTATAGGTGCAGCTAATGATTACCTGATTACCTCATGCTATAATGTTATTCCATTATCAAAACCATACCTGGAGTGTTGATTTGGTTCTTTCATGCATGTTTGAGAAATCGTTTAATCTCCACGGCAACCACTGAGCCGTGCAAAACACCTGGTTGGACGTAGCTCCGGCTTCGAGGCGCAGCTCCGCTTCAGAGCTGCAGTTTCTAAGCTAACGAGCTTCAGCCTCACCTAGCAGCCTTCCCTCATGACTCCCCCACTCAGCTCCTTCAGACTAGCCAGCAGCAATTAGCAAACACCTGGTGGAACTGCACGTCTCATTATAGGAGCAGCTAAAGGATTAATAGAGGAGCCATATTGTGATGACTTCCTGAAGGCGGAGTTTCAGAAAGAGCAGGAGATTTTAAAGAGACAGAGGCCCAATTTGAAGGTGTTAAGTTACAAAGTCAAATTTCTTTTATGTCATATTTGATATGGATAACATCTTTATAACAACTGAAGCTAACATAGTTAGTTGATTGTGCTTGGAAAATACTGTCCCTTTAAATACAAAATGTATATATATTTTGTACAGTTTTGGGTTAATTATTTCCCTGAGTGTGTTGTTCTTTCAGCAAGCAGCCATTTTTTGAGTTTGTATGTTCCAGTTAGCGATTAACTGATTACTAAATTAATTGATGACTATTTCAATAATTGATTCATCATGATTAATCGTTTCATCTATTGCATTAATATATCCTGATTATATTTTGAAAAAGAGCCCAGCTTGTTGCCAGTATAAATGGACCCAGAATGGTTGATGATCTAATTCAGATGACAGTCATCTACTCCAGTCCAGCACATTACCACCCGGAGGTGCAACACGGTGATGGATGGAAGCAGCGTGTAGCTTCATGCTCTGAACGGCGAGCGAGAGCAGCCACCTCACCGTGAGTCAGGTTCACACTCTCACCCTCATGAAAAGGGAAATAAAGACGGACCAAATCGGCCGCATACGCTTGATATGTCTTTGGATGAATGTATCTGAAACGTGAGTACCCGGTGTGGTAAAATGTGGCTGCTGCTCAGAGCAGGAAGTAAAAGAAGAGCAAGGAATAAATAAAGATAGATAGAGGGGGGAGAGAGGGAATCTGTCGGCGCTGCTCTCCAGTTGGTGTTGCTATGGCCCTGCCCTCCCTGCTCACTGAGCCATTTCCTGTTTTTGACCTGAAATCTTTATTTAGAGCCATCCCTCCTCACTGCTCGGCATTCATGACTCAACTCGGAGTCCGGAGAGATGAAGACAGACCTAAAATCAGATCTCCATTCACTCGCAGGAACACGCTCATGCAACCCAAGCGAGCCTCGCCGCACTGCAGCCGAGGGTTTCCCTGAAGCTAAACAGTTTGTTTGATGCAGATACTTGATATTCACAGCTCGAGTCGGGCCTGCAGCCGTCGCCACCGCCGCCTCCAGCTGTGGTTATAAACTCCACAATCTGACTGGACTTTTGGAGAAGGAAGCTCCAAAAGTGAAAGTGCACATTTCTCTCCGTCTGCTGGAAAACAACAAGCAGAAATATGCTGTGCAGAAAGTAATAATGAAGAGAATTCAACAATGCATTTCAATTTTTACACTTGCAATTAGGCCTCTCACAATAATACATTTAGCTGGATGATATATTGTCCCAGAAGTTATTGCGATAAATGATAATATTGTTGTTTTGAGACCATTTTCAAGTAACATAATGGCAAAAACACATTCTCGAAACTGAACATTTAACACTGGAACAGGAAGATATTTAAATATCCACAATAAATAAACAAAACAACAAATAAAATGAATTATGAAGTCTCTTTAAACAAAATTGTCCTTCAAAGAGAAGCTTAGTTTTGACTAAAACACTATATTGAAGACTTCTGTCTCCAGTTTTTGGAAGAAAGAGAGAAGGAAATAGGTAATAAATCATGCAAACGGAAATGATTGAGCTCATTTTAATTTATAATGCGATTAATTGATTTATCACTTACTCTGACAAGCCTACTTGTAATGTTGTGATTTGTAGACTTTGTACCTGCTCAAAACTCATAATATTTTGCATATAAATGTGTTGCAGAAAGCGCTTTTTTTCAGCTGAAAGGTTTACTTTATGGCAAATTGGTTCATTCCAGGGCCATCATTCATTAGCACAAGTGTAACCGTAAAAAGAGTGTCCAGCTGAAGGTCTTTAATCATTCCAGTTAGAAGACTTCTACTACAACCCAGTCCAGACTGGTTGCTTGTAAAACATGACCTGGCAGTCAGTAGATTCGGTTTGATTAGCGACCAAAAGCTGCAACATTTGTTACATTTTCAGCTGCTGCATTTCTCTTTCACACTGCGTCAAATGAACCAAACGATTTGAAAAACCTGTTCCCCTCCTGGCCTGTGGGGGCACTTCACCAAGAACTACTGAAGGGAACGATACAAAAACCTCTGAAGAAGACACTGAACACAACTTTATTCATGAAATGTAAATAGAAATAGAGCGGCATCATAAAAAAATAAATATGAATCATTTACCCAGAATGCCCTGCGCTATAGTCCACTTTCTGCTTTTGGAGCAGTCTCCATTTAATTGTGGCAATTTTTAAATTAAAAAGATTTAAAAATCTTAATTTAGATTTAAAATTTGTATTCCCCATCTGTTTGAAATATAGATTTTTTTTATATTTATTTTATTTTTTATAGTGTTATGTTGTCAAATGGCCAAAATTTCCACATATACCTGAATAAACAAAGATGAAAATAAATTTATCTAGATTTATTTAATTTATTTTAGAAGCCTAGAATTATTTCAAAATTTATTTGGTTATTTTATAATCCTGAACACCAAACTGCATAGTATTATTTTCCACATTTAATATATATTAATTATTATTATATTGAAACCTAATAATTTTATTTATATGCTACTCTGTCTGTTTGGAATTTAATTTATTACAGATATAACTTTTCAATGATTTATTTATGTTATAAGTTCTATATAAAGTCTTCAATTCTTCAATACAACACTGGATTGTACAGTAAATAAATCAATCCTGAAATGATTCTATATGCTTTTATCACATAATGAATATTTGTATTTTACATTCTTTATTTTGTTTTTAAAAATATTTTAAGCATGCAGATATTTATGGTTTCATGCATTCATCAGTTATGCTAACTTATTGTTTGCATTTGCAACTTTATTTAACCATCACTAATACTACTAATAAGAAAAATCTATAATTGTGGAACTGCTAGCCCCTGGAGACCATAAACAAATCTAATAAATTCATAAATATTAGGACTTATGAATTAATTATGCAATTTATAACTACATTAAATATTAATTCTTTTATTTTTTGGTAATTCATTAATTTAGTAATTTGACACTTTGATCAAACTTTGCCAGTCAATCTGTACTGACAGAGTGAAGTTACGGAGCTTATTGATGTGAGTGTGCGTGCCCTCGTACACGCGATTGGATGTGGGCGGGGCTAAACTCCGCTCTCGGGGCAGCTGCTCGGTTTCAGCTTCTCCTGCTGCTTTCAAGGGATCCTCGTACATTTCTCTGACTTACCTAATTAGAGCCTGACAGGCCAGAAACAAACTAAAGTAGATTAAAACATTCACGCTGTTGTTTGAGTTGAGGTATTTAGTATATAGTTAAACTAATTAGTGATTAATTGCTGCCTGTTCCTTTTCTTTCTCCGTTTTCACGAGATAAACGTTTAATGAAGCCTCTAAACAGATTGTTCTTCGTTTTTTACGTTTGATTTAAGGTGGAAAACAGCGACGTACATGGCGTTTTATTAATAATCTTCGCTTAGTTCACTTATAAATCGTTCGTGAACGCGGAAGCATTAAAAAAACGGTCTCGTTGTAGGTGAATCCGACAGGCCTTGAAGGCATCAGCGTTCCAAAGAGCGGAGGCTGTTTTCTCCTCCTATCAGCGCCATTGTGTGGCGGAGTCTCCGGGAGTGAGGACCGATTGTTTTTCTGTTGCCGACGGGACTGTTTAAATACCCCCTCATGTTTCTCTGTGGACCCCCGGCGGATCTGGATCTGGTAAGCCTCCGTTTCGATGTTTGACCCCCTTGTTTTTTTTTTTTAAAAAGGAGCGAAGTTAAACAACGTCGAGAGGGGGAAACACACCGGCACGAGAGCGTTAACCTATTTGTAATGAATAATAGAGACGGCGGCTGCTGGTGTTTCGGTATCAGTACAGTAAGGTGGTGGAGAAGTTTTGCTACTGTGTGTGTATCCGCTGTGGATTCCAGTTACTGACACAGGGCGGTTCTTCTGCTTCTTAGTTTAGGACTGCGGAGAAAAAGCGTCTGATAAACTTTCCACAGACCTTAAGAAAAGATAGTTGGGCTGTCCCAAAATATACTCAGTGACTGGACCTCACTTTTTTATGGCTTATTATGTGTACAATACAATAAAAACGTCATTAAATGACCCAGTTAAGTCAGTTTAATGAGAAATGTACACAAAACACGATTGAATTAACATTTAATTCACTTTATTATCACAGTTTTAGTGTCATAAATGTGTGTTTTCTGAGGGATTTTGTTACTACATACCACAACCAGGAGCTGTATTAATGGAGGGGCCTCTGTTTTGTAATCTGCACCACAACACAGCAGCCACCTCCTGGTGACAGCACCTCTTCTTCACTCCTTGTTCTTCTGCTTTTTACCCACAAGCAGGATGTAGGTCACGCAAGAGGTCTTCTTCTACTACTCCTTACTTTGTCCAGACAGGGACCCACGGGACACACATACTGTTTTGATGGGATCTGAGGTGAATAAACATGTCAGGAGTTGCTAAACAGGTGCTTCTCAGTCAATTAGAATGTAATTGAAAAGTTAGTTTTAAATGTTAAACTTGTGTAGCATTTATTTTAGATAATTTGCAGCTAAAATGTCCTCGAAAAATCTGAATATTATGTAGAATATTATGTAGAAACGATAAATAAAAAGATTGAAAACCTTCACAAAAAACTTTGTAGTTCACAAGAGTGCTGTATCTGATATTAATGGGAAGTTGAGTGGAAGGAAAAAGTGTTTGATAGAAGATCCACAGGCAGTTGTAAGTGGATGATGAGGGGAAATCCATTAATGAGTTTCGGGGGAGATTCACCTTAACAAATCAAATAAATCAATAACAATATATATATCGTGACAGACATGTGATCAGTATCAATACATCTTATAGAATATTCATTGAAAAGTCAAGGGAATGACTTTAGCTGCTTAACCTCTCGCTGTGAACTAAGGTAGCTTAGTGGCATCAACTAACTCACTCAGCCTTGGTTACCTAGCAACTCATGCATTCTTTGGTCACCCAGCAACGACCTGTTGAGTAACTTGTGCTGCAGCAGTTTAAGGTTTTCTGCATTGTGCCTCATAACTTCTTAAAAATGGAGTGGGGTGAATAAAGCAGGAAAGGTCACACCATCAGTTTGGCAATATTTGAGATATTTAAAACAAAAAAACTAATCAATAATGATCAATATCGACTGATATGAAACTTTTATATCCCGATAAGTTTTTTTTTAGCCATATCGTTCAGCTCTATGTTGGTGTCAGAGGTTCGAGAGCCGCCTCTCACAGACATATCCAGGTCAAGTTTTAAATATATAGATTTATTACACAAAGAGTAATAGCGGACATTTATTGTTTGCTATAAAAGTCTGTAACCAAAAAGGAAAGAGTGTGTCTAAACAGATTCACATCCGTAAATTCCGTAAACTTTAGCTGATTTGTTGTCAATCAGGTGGTTGCTGTAGTTTGCAAAACAAAAATTATATTTTTTGGCCCGTTAGTATTTTTGAACTGACGATTTTAGCCCAGTTGACATCAAGTTTGGACTTTGATGCATTTAAAGCTAGAAAAGTTACATGGTTCGGGTGTTGATGTTTGCTAAGTTTTCTTTCCTTTTTCTGTGTTCATAAAGAAATTAATTTTTATCTGTAAAGGATCAACATCAGCTAATACTAATCCTCAGATATCGGTATCGGTTTTGGACGCGAAAAAAGTGGATTGCTGCATCCCTAATTATTAATCGTAGAAAAAATGTGTCACATTTAGCTGTAAACTATTTAAGATCACCTAGATCTATTTTTTAAATTTACCACATTTGGTGACTTTATCAGGTGGCTATTGTAGATTTTAAAATTAGATTTTTTTTTTTTTTTGGCCCCTTAGTAGTTTTGAGCTGATGATTTTGTCACAAAAGTTTGGACTGTGATGAATTTAAAGCCAGAAAAGTTAAATATTTCAGGTTTAAATATTTTTTACATTTTCTGTGTTTTTAAAAAAGAAATGTTTTTCTGTATCAGATCAATATTGGCTGATACTAAACCTCAGATATTGGTATCGGTTCTGGACATGAGAAAAGTGAATCGGTGCATCCATAGTTGAGCATAGAAAAACAAAGTGTCACATTTATTTATTTTTTATTATTATTTATCAGATTTTGTGACTTTATCAGTTAATTTAGGATGCTGTTGCGTTGTGTTCAGAACAGCCACTTGCCTGCAGCTGGATCTGAACATCTGGTGCGTGGCGGGCTTGGAAGAGAGCTCAAACTCGGCGCATAAATGCTGCAGAGCCAGTTGCTGCAACGCTCCATCGCAACAGAAGGCAGTGTGGCTGGGATTAGTAAATTTAGGATTAAAATCAAGGCATAAGGTGCGGTAATGAGGCGGGCGCTAGTTTCGTGTCGACGCTCGGCACCAGAATCCTGCGGCTGCTTTCTCCGTCGGAGAAGAACCCACTCATCAGCAGCAGCATGTCTGCTGACCTAAATCTGCTCTCTTCTTCTGCCTTTTATTTATAGACTTAAGAGTGAGTGCATACTGGGAGGGAGTGTGTGATCGGAGACGCTCTTCCGGACCGGAAAATTTGGGATGTGCACGAGTTCGCTTTGATTGCACATGTAGGTTTGACCTTTGGAGTGACGGCACGGTTACGTAAAAGTAATCCTCGTCGTCACCAGAACAGTAGAGTGTGTCTGTCTTGAAGGAGTTTGGTCTCTGTGGATGTGTGTGTTTTCCCAAACATTCGCTTTTAGGATCTGTTTGTCTAATGAATTAGTGCAGAGTGCAACTGCAAACAGAAAGAGAGACGTTTTATTTCAGCCTTGTCTCTGACCTTTGCACCCCTTTGTCGGTGTATCTGATATGGACTTTAATCAGCTACCGAAGGCTGGTTTTTCACTTTGGACCAAGGGTGTTCAATGTAGGGCTCGGGGGCCATTTGTGGCACCTGGATTGATTGTTTGTGGCCTCCTGGTTATAATTAAAGCATCATGACAACTTAGGGCAATTGTTGATAGAGGGGGGAATAAAGTCAATTTTCGATAGAAAAAATTTACCATACTAGAAAGAAACAACAACTAATTTCTGAGTTTGTA